TGGGTCTCAAAGCCCTAATCTTATTTTAATCAATTCCTCAAGCAAATCATAATCCAATGCAATTACATTTCAATATTATCATTAGTTACACATAAACTTGACAATTTAAAGATCAATGTATCAAAAATATTACCTTTGAAACTATGCCTTTCTACTCCTAAGTTCTTCCTAGTTCTCCAAGGTTCCCAAGCTCCAAAACTAGTTGAACTCCACTTCAATCCACTAATTTTTGGTTCTTTTAAGCTAATTTAACAAGGAATTAGCTTAGGAATTAAAGTAATAATTTGGGAGGAATTGGGAGAAAAATGCGTGAGAGAGGGAGGAGAAGAGGAAAGGAAAATTCTGGAAGGGAGGGGTAGTTATTACTTTTTTTATATCAGCTCGAAATTTTTTTTTTAGGTTATTACACACACACTCTCTCTCTCTCTCTCTCTCATCATAATTTATTTATACAACTACGCCACTCTTATTTAAAAATTATAAAAATAATCAATCGTATAAATTATAATAATATATTTTAAAAAATAAAACAATCATGTTCTAAAATTTTATTTCAAAATCCATTTATAAAAAAACTAAATTTATTAAAAAATAAAATTATATCATAAAATTAAAAAATTAATTTGATGAGAGTTTTAAGAAGAAACAAAAAATTGAAGAAATAAATTTTAAAAAATAAAAGTAATATATATATATATATATTCTATTACGTCAAATTGTACGTAAAACTAAAAAAAATAACGATCTATTTTTTATATTTTCACACCTAAGTTCATGATAAAAAAAAATATAAAAATAAATTATTTAAAGAAAAAAAGGTCGGGTATGTGCGGCTAGGCCGACCCGGCGTGGTTGGGCTAACGTGTAGGTCCGTGAGCCGGGCCAAGGCCGCTCGAGCTCGTGTGTCGTGGCGCTCGAGCACCGTACGCAGGCTTGGGTTGTTGGCCAACCCAAAAAAAAAGAAAAAAAAACCTACAACTTCCAATGAACTCGAAGCTCGCTGGAAGCTTCATCGAAAAATCGTTGGTCAATTTTCGAGTCCTAGAAAACTCAATTTTAGCATTATTTTTCTCCCAACATCTCTAAATGATCTAAATAAAGTCAATAAACACTTTTAAGACATTAAAAATCATTTTAATGCACATTAAAACAAAACAAAATACATAATCAAATCAATTTTTTTCCTTTTTAGGCTCCGAGCTATCCTCTAATTATTTAATGGCTTAAAATCGGTATGAACAAACTCATCTCTCAAAAATAAAAAAATCTAATGGATTTTTGTCAATCAAAGTAGCTCGAATAAGGTTCGCCGATGCTTTCTCTCTCCTCCCATCTCTCTCTTCTTTCCTCTCTACACTCAAGAACCAAAATGTATCAGCAAATAAAGTCGTGGATCGAAACAAAATGTTTAAAAATATGAGAAACCAAAGTATAAAAAGTTGTATAATTTTTATATTGTTGCCTACGAAGTCTAAAAAAATACAAAAAGAAAAAAAAAAACCAAGTTACGAGTAAATGAACAAGTGAACATCCTAGCTCTTTTAGTTTTTTTCTTAGGCTCCATTTATTTGCGTGAAAACAACTTTCATAGGAAAATCAATTCCCGAAAAAATTTATTTTTCAGGAAATTTTTTCCAAAAAAATATTTTCTACCATTTGGCAATTTCATGAAAAAACTTCTAAAAAATATATTCCAGCGTTTTTTTGATACAAAAAATTAAAGTATAAAAACAACATGTGATTGTTATATCAATGAGTGTTGAGAAAATTTCAAAAAGACATATTCATAATTTCACAATATAAGATATATTTAAAAAAATTTAATAAATTTTCATAAATACTAACTCTAAAATTTAAACTAAAAAAATGAAATGTACTTTTTTAACCGTCAAACCAATTCATCAAAATTACTTGGGACAAAATCAACTTAATATACACATCTAGTAAAAAATATGTAAGTAATCCTAGCATTGTAATTTTGGTAACTCAATTAATTTTTTTTTTTTGGGAAATTAAACTAATAATTTAGTCTAAAAATAGTTTTACATATTATTAGTTATCATTTGTAAATAATTATTCATTTGGTTTCAAAAGATTAATATTTGAATAATTTGTAACTAATTATTAACTATAATTACCAATAAAATTTTACAATTGATTAAAATTATAAATTATTGATTTAGTTACAAATGAATAGTATTGAAAAAATAATATATTTATTAATGAATTAATTAATTTTATTTTTTAAAATATATAATTTCATTCTTGTAATAATCATTTCCAATCATTTAAGTATAATTTAGGTGGTGTTTAAGATAATAGTAAAAGAATAGAGTAAATTATTGAAATATTTATCATAAAAATAATTTTCAGTTATAAAAAAGGTTTTAAGAATATTTAATGTATTTATAAATCAAAACATCAAATGTTAATAGAAATAGAGAAAAATAATTAAATAATTGATAAGAAATAATTCAAATTTAATTTAATATATTTTAAATAAAAAAAGGTGAAGAAAAAATTTATTAAAATATATTGAGAGAGAGGTAAATAACACAAGAGTGAGACATCTCGCGAGAAGGAAAATGTTTTCCTCCTTTTCAACTCGGAAAATATTTTTTCAAAATTACTCTATCATTTTTCATTGACTGAAAATCATTTTCTATTGACTTTTTTTCTAAACACGAAACAAACATCGAAAAATGAAAAAAACAAGTTCCTAGAACTTGTTTTTTCCCAAACAAACACAACCTTAATATACACATGCGAGTCACAATAAAGAGATACCATTAGTCCGTTTAACCTCCATATCAATATAGTGTTGAGACATTGTTTTAAGAAGCGAGATCTCACTTCTCTTTCTATGATATAATAAGATATTAAAACAAAGACTTTTATTCTTTTTCGATCATTATTTGGATCATAAGATAAAAAAATACCAATCTTATTATCGAACATTTTCATTGTCTCTACATTTATATAATTGACGGACGAGTCATAGAAATATGCATTAACACAATGGTAGAAAGTTGCATGTCACCTTGAACTTCATTCGGTACTACGAGAGGTAGATCAAAATGCCATGGTTGCCCTAAAACTCATAACTTATCTTTCATATGAAAGAATTGAAACATAAAGAGGTTTTAGCCAAAGCATTGGCTTCCATACCCTTACGTAGACTTTAAATAGATCTCATGGTTTGTAATAAAGCCAAAGAATCCATTTTTTAGATATTAATAGTTTTCCAACCAAACAAAACGAAGTTATATCCATAAATGCTGCAAAACTATTCTCCATAATTTTAACTCGCATCATCTATATCTATATTCTAAATTTTTCTAGGCCTTTGCCTTATTTCTATTCGATCCACCCCTAAAGTTTGAAACCTTAGATAAGGACCGAAACAAACTTTTCGAGCAACTAGAACCGAGACCTATAGTTATAACAAGATGAAAACCTATATGAAAACAAGGCAATCCTCCCCTCCTATAAAAGGTTTCATGCTAGAAAAACCTAAAAAAATACCTAAGAGAAAACATAAAAAGACCTAGAAGACTCTAGAAAGAAAACATTACCTAAAATGAGACTTGAAAGTAAATTCAATTATAATGAAGAATAATTCCGAAGATGTGAATATCTTAAAAAAAAAAACAAGTGTTCAAAAAGAGTGTTAGAGTGAGTGTTGCTACTCTGTTCCCCTTTATAAATACACAAAAAGTTGCTTCCTACAATTTTAATTATATAAAAAAGGTGATAAACATTTAATAGCTAGTAAGTGAAAACACTTATACTTAAACTAATAATACAACAAATGAATAACAACGATCATACTTTACAATCATCTATTTCCCATGCGTTAGAATAAATTGCATTCTCAAAATAAATATTTAACGAGAAAATTAAATTTATGATTGAACTGATTGAACTTCTAATAGGTCATTTGGGTCTAACTTTATATATCTTAGTATACATAGAAAATAATATTTTATGTGTACCAAAAACATATCATTCTCTAAAAATAACAAAAAAATATCTAGATAATCAATAAAAAAAATAAAGTCAAACATTAAATAGGTTAGCTAGAGCCACACAATCCATATAATCTTTGTATTGTTTTGTTAACAATACTTTAGTCTACACAACCATTATCTTGGTGTTCATATGCTTAATAAGCATTTCGTGTTTCTTCACTTTTTCTCTTACAACTAGCTACTTTATATCGATATGCTTTTTTTGGCATTCATTCTTATTATTATCCAATTATCATAATAAATCTCTATTAGTCTTGATATATAATTGATATTTTTAGATAAAAAATGTAATTTCTTATTCGGATAACTTGTGCCGTTACTTCATAGCATGCAATGATTTCTATTTTCATAATAGACAAAACAACAATAGTTTACTTTATATTTTTTCAGGATATAACTCTTCTAATAAGAAGAAAAACATACCCTAAAGTAGACTTTCTTATGTCTACATAACCAGCAAAATCCAAAATAAATAATTCACCTCAAGATGATTAGTATATTTATAAATTAACATATAATCTTGGGTTTTCTTTTATAGAAAAGAGGGTCATGGTGTTACCCCTAACTTTATTAATAAATCGAAAAAATAGGGGGAATTAAATACCCCGCATTACAAATGAAGGATAAAAGAGCATATTGCAAAGAAACTACTTGCACTTAAGCAACAACCAAAAAAAAAAAAAAAGAGAGACTAAACAAAATAGCTAATACATCAAACACTAAAGCCATCAAACTACCGGGGATAACCCCTACAAGAATTGGCCAAAAGGTAACAAACACATCGTGGAAGCTAAGCCTTAGTCTTCCATTCTAAGTAGCTCGAAATTTTTCTAACACCAAATTGTCTTCACGTTAGATTGATTTGCAACATCATGGGAGATCATTAGCTGAATGGAAAATGCGAGAAGAATGATGATTGTATGCATGATCATCCGGACGATTTGCTAAAGAATTTCCTTCCCGAAGCACATGAACTACATTGGTTCCCTGCAAGAGAGCCTTACATTTTCTAATCAAGTATGCGATCGACCAAGGGCATCGAAAGGAATTTTTAATCACCTCGACAATCAATCGCAAGTCCAACTCAACTATTTCCATTACCAAATTCAAGTTCGAATAGAGTTAAAGACCTTGTAAAAGAGCCAAAGCCTCCCCATGTTATTAGACCTATGATCATAAAAACCTAAATAGGCCAATATCACAACACCTTTCCAATTACGCACCACACCATCCCCTGTGTAAAGAGGGCCCCTAATAGAGCCATCCGTATTCGGTTTGAGCATATAATCTTGGTTCCTTATAGATATCTTATGATTTTCTTTCTAGCTTTTCAATGTTCCATTTCAAGATTGATTTGGAACTTTTTCAATATTTTTACTATAAATGCCAAGTCAAATCTTGTACAAACCTATGTGTACATCAAAATGCCTCCTACGAGATGGATAGAGAATGTTACTCATCTACTTCATTTTCAATTCATTTTGTGGATATTGATTCAGATTAAATTTTTCCGATTTAACAATAAATGCTCTAAAGATGCACAATTTGACATCCTAAATATTTTCAAAACTTTTTCAATATAAGTCTCTTGAGATAGTTATAATATTCTTTGAGATTTGTTTCTATAAATCTCTATGTTAATTACATAAGAGACTTCACTCAAATTCTTCATATCAAAAAATTGAAAAAGAAATTGTTCGTCTCATGTAGCAAACCCAAATAACTACTTATAAGAAAATTTTTAATGTACATATAGGATAAGAAAAATAAATATTTGCACTAGCTAACTTAAAGGTATATACATTGATCAATAATATTTTCAATTAAATTATACGAGACAATACACTCCGAACTTAATATACCATTGTTGATAAACTTGTTGTAGCTCATATATAAATTTTTTAGTTTACAAACCAATAGGCTATCCGTGTTATCATATAAACCTACAAGTGATTTATGTATATCTTTTTTTCTAAATTTTTTCATTTAATTTTTTTTTCACATTCATCTAATGTAGCTCTAAATAAAAATGAGCTACCAATACCATTACAATTCTAAATGAATTCTTCTTAGAGACTAAAAAGAAGGTTTCATTATAATCTATGCCTTTCTTTTAGTTATAACTCTTAACTACAAATCTAGCTTTATATAGCAAAGAGCTTGTAGCCTAGTGGTAATAGTCTTTTGCAACAAGAGGTCACGGGTTCAAATCCTAACAGATTAGTTACGTCAAAAATTTTATGTGTGTGAGTTAATTAAAAAAAAAAAAAACTAGTCTAGTTTTATATAAAAAAAGAATCTCTTTTGTTTTTATAAACTCATTTGCAACTAACGATTACAAATCTTTCTAGAAATTCGACGATGATCTAAACTTGATTTTCATATATAGACTTCATAGCTTCCTTCATGACACTATACCATAAAGTGGAGTTTTATTCATTCATAGCTTGTGAAAATAAGTTTAAATCACCACTAAATTCCACATTAAAGTCAAACTTTTGAAGGTATACGATATAGTCATTTGAAATTACCAATTTTTTTTACTCTTTAGGATCTCCTTAATTCAAATTCTTCATGTGATTTTATCTTATCAAGAAGTAGTTGAACAAACTATTGTTTTTTATTTCTGTAAAGATCCATGAACTTTGAACTACACAATGGAAGATAATCATCTCTCATTACCTAATAATTATATAACTAGAGGGACGGGACTATAACTCGAACTTGCTTCAATAAAAAAAAAAGTTCTTTAACCGATGGATAATTTGTGTCCGTAAATATTAAATTTATACATATTTGATTACCATGGATCAAGTTCCTATGGAGTAACTGAGATTTCTATACAAAGTAGAACAATTAAATTTCTTAGTCCTATGTTTGTCTATATGTAGCTTTATTATTATTATTATTATTATTAGTTGTAGCTGAAACACAACGTGCAATTCAAATTTCAAAAGAGCATCAGGAACAATTAGAATTTTAGACAATGTATTTGGTTTATATTATATTTAATTTACAACTTAATTCAGCACCCACCCAATACTGCAGGCAGGTAAAGTATATGAGAAACATCGGCTTAATAGGAGCAAAGCAAATAATAATATATGATATATCCAGAGAAAGGGGAGGAGAGAGGAAAGTCAGGTGGCTCTCATCTGGGCGTTGAATGGTTAATGGAGTATTATTATAAACATGCAAGTTGGCCAAATTACAGTAGATAATAATAAAATAAAAAATAGTAGACGAGTAAAAAAAGAAGGTGGTAATCTTATTATTCAGCCGACATGAATTATGCAAATAATACCAGAGTCTAGTGGTGGTCGTCGTCCTTAGAAGCTGGCGTGGGGCTATGAAGGGAACAGAACAAACTCGCTGCGGGTCCTTCCTTTCCTTTCTTGTCTTCAACTTCTCTTTCAGCGTTGTCGTTTACTATCTTTGGATGCAATTCGCCCATGTACTGGATAATGGATATGCAAGTTGATATATATATTTTTTTGTCTATTTGGCAATATGAATCTCTTGTTTGATTGATGAGAATGTTTCTTCTGCTGTTGCTGTTAAAATTGAGTACAACGAGAATATCTCTACCGCTATCGTTCTCATAATAATTATTGTAAGTAATTAAATTATATTTTCTTATTTGTTTGTTGCTCTCTCAATCTGTCTATATCTTCTCTTGTATTATATTATATTATTATTATTATTTTAACAGGCTACAGATTCTAGCAAGTGCATGAACCTTCTTTCCACGTCTATGATCTATGGATGACATTTTTACATTACTTCGAGCAAATTAATTGCATTGAACTTCGATTTGTTTTCTTTTCTATTTTTGTTTTTTCATTAAAGATCTCTTCATTCTTAGGAAAAGAAGGAACAATGCTTATGTCTCAAATTTAAGCCTATCTAATTACAATACTAACCTTTTATATTTATTATTTTACAAACTTCTCATCTAGCTTCCATAGTGTAAAAGAGAACCATTGTATGGAGGCGTATTATGATTACGTTTAGTATGCTCTTTCAATTTATTTAAGTTGATTTTTAATTTTTTATCCATAAAAAAATTATAAATATATTTCATTATAAATACTTTTTGACTTGGATTAAAAATAATATTACAAATTGAGTAAAAAATGTAGTTTTTTATCCAAAAACTTTTGACATTTAACTTATATATTGATTCTAAGTTATATATGTCTTTAAACAAAACAAAAAACTATTCTGAATTTTTTTTTCGGTTGTCAAATCCACTCCTAACTTAATTATTTATGTAAAAAATTGTTTATATATATATAAAGAACTTTTGAATTGTGATTCAAAGTCAGAAATGGGTTTTAATAAGTCATGCTAAATACAATCTACATAGATGCTCCACTAAATTGCTTGGAAGGGGAGCGAGTAACACAATTGAATACCATCTTTGAATATTTTGTAGAATTGCTTGCTTGGTTTTTATATTTTTTTCAATTTTTGACGGTTTTCAATGTGATTCTTAAATCTTAATTTGTATTACAACTCGACAAAGATGAAAAAAAAAAAAAAGAGAAAGAGAAAATACAATAGGTAATATGTGCGGGACGAGTGGAAAAGCATGCGTTGATTGGTCATTTCTTGTCACGTTGGCATTTAGGCTCGAAACTTATGAAAAATGTTTAGGATGACAAGGAATTATCCTTGCGCTCGTTCTTGCTTCGGTTGCGAGGCTATGTTGTGCCTACTCATGGCTCTTTAATGACATCGGTGGTGCACTACACTTTAAGACAAAGCACACGGTTCGAAACGAGTGATTTGGATAGGCACTTTAGGTAAAGTTGGTTAGGTATGGCAAAAGAGAAAGGTAGGAGGAGAAAGGAAGCAAAGAGGAATAAAGGGAAGAAAGAACTCGTGAAAATATTTTTTGTTATTTCTCATCATTTCATCATCGGTTTTATAGGTAGATTCTAACAAAATTGCCAAGTCGATACAAAACATTTGTAAAAAACTCATCATTCCTTTTTATAACAAACTATAACAATACTCTTTGGCTCTATATATAATCATCAAACTTGTGTGGTTTCTTGGGCAAACGATGGCTTTTTCTCCGGGCCCGAGGAGGATCCGGTGGAAGCCCACTAGTAATGAGGTTACGGATTGGGCTTGCATCATTACTCCGCTCATTAAGATGGACCTTGTCCTCGAGGTTAAAAGAAGGAAAGTCATGACGAAAATCCCGAATCGGTTCCCGAGTGGCATCCGAAGCGAGCTTGCCAAACCATTGAATGAGGATTTGCTTGTTTGTGGTATACCATGTTGGAGAATGCTATGGAATCCCAAGACCTTGAAATGGGTAAGGAGAGGTTGTGGACCAAGGAGTCTGCAGGGGTAGAGGAGCCCTGGAGGCGTATTATGATTACGTTTAGTATGAAATTTAAGCCTATCTAATTACAATACTAACCTTTTATATTTATTATTTTACAAACTTCTCATCTAGCTTCCATAGTGTAAAAGAGAACCATTGTATGGAGGCGTATTATGATTACGTTTAGTATGCTCTTTCAATTTATTTAAGTTGATTTTTAATTTTTTATCCATAAAAAAATTATAAATATATTTCATTATAAATACTTTTTGACTTGGATTAAAAATAATATTACAAATTGAGTAAAAAATGTAGTTTTTTATCCAAAAACTTTTGACATTTAACTTATATATTGATTCTAAGTTATATATGTCTTTAAACAAAACAAAAAACTATTCGAATTTTTTTTTCGGTTGTCAAATCCACTCCTAACTTAATTATTTATGTAAAAAATTGTTTATATATATATAAAGAACTTTTGAATTGTGATTCAAAGTCGAAATGGGTTTTAATAAGTCATGCTAAATACAATCTACATAGATGCTCCACTAAATTGCTTGGAAGGGGAGCGAGTAACACAATTGAATACCATCTTTGAATATTTTGTAGAATTGCTTGCTTGGTTTTTATATTTTTTTCAATTTTTGACGGTTTTCAATGTGATTCTTAAATCTTAATTTGTATTACAACTCGACAAAGATGAAAAAAAAAAAAAAAGAGAAAGAGAAAATACAATAGGTAATATGTGCGGGACGAGTGGAAAAGCATGCGTTGATTGGTCATTTCTTGTCACGTTGGCATTTAGGCTCGAAACTTATGAAAAATGTTTAGGATGACAAGGAATTATCCTTGCGCACTGTTCTTGCTTCGGTTGCGAGCTATGTTGTGCCTACTCATGGCTCTTTAATGACATCGGTGGTGCACTACACTTTAAGACAAAGCACACGGTTACGAAACAGAGTGATTTGGATAGGCACTTTAGGTAAAGTTGGTTAGGTATGGCAAAAGAGAAAGGTAGGAGGAGAAAGGAAGCAAAGAGGAATAAAGGGAAGAAAGAAGCTGTGAAAATATTTTTTGTTATTTCTCATCATTTCATCATCGAGCTTTATAGGTAGATTCTAACAAAATTGCCAAGTCGATACAAAACATTTGTAAAAAACTCATCATTCCTTTTTATAACAAACTATAACAATACTCTTTGGCTCTATATATAATCATCAAACTTGTGTGGTTTCTTGGGCAAACGATGGCTTTTCTCTCGGGCTCGAGGAGGATCCGGTGGAAGCCCACTAGTAATGAGGTTCCGGATTGGGCTTGCATCATTACTCCGCTCATTAAGATGGACCTTGTCCTCAAGGTTAAAAGAAGGAAAGTCATGACGAAAATCCCGAATCGGTTCCCAGTGGCATCCGAAGCGAGCTTGCCAAACCATTGAATGAGGATTTGTCGTTTGTGGTATACCATGTTGGAGAATGCTATGGAATCCCAAGACCTTGAAATGGGTAAGGAGAGGTTGTGGACCAAGGAGTCGCAGGGGTAGAGGAGCCTCGGTGATGTAGCGAATCACCTTTACATAACTTCGACTTAGAAACATGGAAAACATTGTGAATTCGAGCGGAATGAGGTATAGCTAGACGGTATGCAACGTTGCCAATGTGTTCGAGTGACTTGAAATGGGCCAAAGTAACATTTGGCTAATTTGTTGGGTTGGCAATGTGCTAACTTAGATTGGTGAAATGGCTATAATTTCACAAACACCCAATCATTTACAAAGAAGTTGACATCCGAGCGACCGAGTTGGCTTGGTTGCATATTCGGCTCCGGGCTCAAGTAAGATTATCATGAAGAGTGGACGGTATGGAAGTGCGGGTCTATAAGAGTTCATCTACGGAGGCCATTGTTGAAGACCTTTGGACATAATCAAGAAGGGAAAGAGGGGACCTATAAAAAATAGCTTCGGATGGGGTCATTTTAAAGGTCGAATGCTATGAAGTGTTATAATGCCACTCGGCCCAAGGAAGGTAAGCCGACCAATGGTACGGATTGTCAACAACAAAACACCATAGGTAATCTTCTAAGCAACTATTCAAAACCTCGGTTTAGCCATTTGTTTGAAGATGGTAAACACTACTTGTAGTATGGGTTGTTACTTAGAGTGAAAATAGTTCTTTACAAAAGGAGCTCATAAAAATAGAATCACAATCTAAGACAATGTTTGAAGGAACCCTATGAAGTTTAACAATATTTTTAACGAAAGCACCAACAACTTGTGGAGTCAGTAAAGTGGGAAACCAATGCGGAGAAGTGGGCATGTTTAGACGGACGATCCACCACCACTAAAATAGTAGTCTTACTAGTCGAAGGAGGAAAGTGGGTGATAAAATCTAGTGAGATGGAATCCCAAATCTAACCGGGGATAGCTAAGGGTCAGTAACAAGCTCAGTGGGGCTTTATTATATGGCTTGGCCTCTTGACAAACTAAATATTAAGAGATAAAGACTGTCCGATTGAAATGAGGCCAGTAGAAAGTAGCAAAAATATGAGCCAATGTTCTTTGCATGCCAGGCATGGCCACTCGTATAAGTGCTCGTGAAACTCATGAAGAATCGGGAGTCAAAAGGCGAGTTGGTAAGGATGAATACTCGTCCTTGAAGAAGATGAGGCCATTTTTAATTGAATGGTAAGGAAAGTCACTTGGGGAAGCTTGAATCGAAGCCAATAATTGGGCAACGACGAGTATTGGTGATGTAAAATTGTTTCAAGGCGTCTCAGATGGCGATTACAAGTATAGAAGCAATCCGTAAATGATGAAAGAAAACGGACGAGAGGCGCGACAACGCATCGGTAGGGTCATTTTTTATGCTTGGTTTACAAACAATATCAAAATCAAAACCAAGCAATTTAGTTAACCATTTTTTTTGTTCTAGTGGTTTGCACCTTTTGATGAATGAGAAAGCAAAGGCTCTAGTGATCGGCTTGGATGGTGAAATGTTAGCCTAAGAGTTACTATTGCCATTTTGTGGACTACCTCAATAATAACATATATTTATTGGTCATAAGTAGACATAGATTACATCCTCGGTGACATATGTTTACTAAAATAAGCAATTGGGTTACTATATTGAGATAAACGGCACTCACATTTGACTCAGAGGCATCGATCCGAACCACAAAAGGGCAGTGAAGTTGGGTAGAACCAAAACTAAAGGAGTGAGCAAGACAACCCGTAATTTTAAAAAAGTCGAAGTGGTATCGAGTGGCCAAATGAAAGTATTCTTATGAAGAAGCTAGGTGAGAGGTACAACAATAAAAGCATAATGAGGTATAAATCATCGATAATAACCCATGAGACCTAGGAAGCCATGAAGACATGTTATCGAAGATAGTAGAGGCCAAGTCCGGATGGCTATGATTTTGTCCTATTCAACGAATGACACTTGTGCTCGAAATGGAATGACCTAAGTAATCGAGTTCGTAACGATCAAATTCACACTTAGACATTTTCATAAACAAACAATGAGCTTGTAACGTGGAGAAAACCCACTAAAAATATTATAATGTAACTCCAATGTAGAGTTTTAGACCAAAATGTAATAAAAAAGACGAGGATAAATTTTCACAAGGAAGAACGAAAGATAGAGTTCATCAAAGCTTGAAAGGTGGAAGGTACGTTGAAGAGGTCGAAGGGCATGACCAAAAATTCATAATAGCCTTTGTGGGTGCGGAAGGCGGTCTTCTCAACATTAAGGGGTGGATACGCATCCGATGGTAACTTTTTCGGAGATCTAGCTCTATGAAACTCGTCTAATAGTTCATAAATAGTTAGGATGGGGAAGTGATCTTTAATTGTCATAGTATTGAGAGCACAATAGTCGACATAAAAGTGCCAATGGTCGTCTTTCTTCTTGACAAGAGAACGGGTGAAGAAAAAGGGTTAGGGCTAGCTTTGGTGATGTCGGTAACAAGCATGTCCCCAATTAGGTTCTCAATCTCGAATTTTCAAAAATAGGGGTAGCGATATGGTTGAACATTAGTGGGTGTTGTTTAGGGTAGGAGAGAGATGCGATGATCAAGGTCATGAGGAAGAGAAAGACTTGTGGGAGTAGCAAAGGAGGAGGGCTCGCAAAATCGATGTAAATGATGGACAAGCCTTGGCTACTATGTTGGGTTTGGAGGTAGCAGGTGTTTCTTCAATGGAGAGATGAAAAAAATAGGTTATGGAGTTGGTTTGTGTGACGCCCTCGGTCCCTTACCTATTACCTAACGGGCGTGATCGACGCGACACACTCGTTGGGACTAAGTCCCCTACTTCCTCCATCGTACATAACGTAAACTAAACCATGGGAACGTATAATATAATTTATAACATTATTACGGATAGTTCTATAATTTAAAACATATTCAAAATACCTAAAAATTTACAACCTAGGCCCGTACCCCTTTTTATTGACACAAAAGATATTTCTATTTTTATGAGTGACACATGAGCCTCTTTTAACGAGAATCGGTAGCATCCTCGATCGAGCTTAACTTTGCCCTTGCCTAAACAACACACAAATACAATAGCAGAATGAGCCAAAGCTCGGCAAGTAGGGTGATGCACGTGATATGCAATGCTATTGTGTTTTCCATATTTTCATCCATTTTAATCCGGTACCCTAGGTATATGCAAGTCCGTGCGCCCAATCTCTTGGTGATCATGTTATCACCTATCGCTCTATTACTTTCTCTCGGTGATCTCAATATCACCTACCGCTCGCAACGAAATTATCCCTCGTTGTAGCACACGGTTAGCGAAATTATCCCTCGCTTAACGGTGTTAGTAAATAGAGCTCGCACTATAGATTCCTTACTATTACACAATCCACTCAATTCGATTACCAAACCGTGTCAATTCAAGACTCAATGATTTTTCTCAATTTATTTCCACCCTCAATGCACATGATGCACGTGATGACATGTTTAATCACATTCAACCAAACTCGGGTACCGACCCTTCTTTCTCAAGCCATACTCACGGTCCAACCATCGCTCGGGATTCACTCGGCGCTCACATACCAATCATGGTACTCATAGCAGAAACACAACCTCTGCTAATTAATATTGTTTATTAGTTTCATTAATAATTAAATAAGGTCCAATTCTTTTTCTTTTTTTTAATTTCCTCTATGAAAGAATAAATTTTCTTTAAAATTTTAAAATCCTTTTTATTTCTATCTAAGTCCACTTATTTTAGCCTAAGCCCATTTTCGTTAGTCTAAGCCCATCTACTTTAAAACCAAGCCTTTTGATTTTAGTCCAAGTCCATTTCCAAGTTTATTTTATTTAAGTCCAAGCCCATTAGCATTAATCCAAGCCCAAGTCCATTTGTTTTAATCTAAGTCCATTTTATTTTTAAATCCAAGCCCATCTCATTTTAACTCAAGTCCAAGCCCACTTATTTTAATCTAAGTCCAAGTCCATTTGTTTTAATCTAAGTCCACTTTATTTTTAAATCCAAGCCCATCTCATTTTAATTCAAGTCCAAGCCCATTTATTTTAATCCAAGCCCAAGTCTATTTGTTTTAATCTAAGTCCACTTTATTTTTAAATCCAAGCCCATCTCATTTTAACTCAAGTCCAAGCCCATTTATTTTAATCCAAGTCCAAGTCCATTTGTTTTAATCTAAGTCCACTTTATTTTTAAATCCAAGCCCATCTTATTTTAACTCAAGTCCAAGCCCATTTATTTTAATCAAGCCCAAGTCCATTTGTTTTAATCTAAGTCCACTTTATTTTTAAATCCAAGCCCATCTCATTTTAACTCAAGTCCAAGCCCATTTATTTTAATCCAAGTCCAAGTCCATTTGTTTTAATCTAAGTCCACTTTATTTTTAAATCTAAGCCCATCTTATTTTAATTCAAGTCCAAGCCCATTAATATTAGTCCAAGCCCATTTATTTTAGGTTAAAATTTTCCAGCAGTGGCACACCTAAATAACCTATACCAAATCAGCCATAACTCCTTAAATATATATCTAAAACTCACGAAATTTTAAGGGGCGATATTAGACATATAGATCAACAACTTTCATGCTTTACGTTTCCTCCAACAATCATTCTAAAATCCTTAAATAATTCACACAAGTTTCGGAACTAAATAAACTTTTCCAGTAGCTGGTCCATTCTACGACCCGTACCAAATCAGTCATAAAACCTTACATACAGATCTAAAAATCATAAACTTTTATATACATATAGTAGACACATAGATGAACAACTTTCCTTCTTTGAGTTCTGCCCAGAAACCACTCTATGATTCTGAAATAAATCGCACAACTTTCGGAATGAAATATTTTTCTAGTAGAGGTTCCATCCGAGCGATCCATACCAATTCAGTCATAACTCCATATATATATCTCTAAAAGTCACGAAATGTTAAAGGGACATAGTAGACACATATATAAACAACTTTCATTCTTTGCATTGTTTCTAAAAATCACTCTAAGATGCTGAAATAAATCACACCAAGTTCGGGTTTTTCCACCCCTAAAATCCAAAAATCTTCTCTTAAAGCACATATCTCAACACACATGCTTAACCATCCATCATCAAACATCAAGTGTTTAAAATCATCACGAATACCATAATCACATTTCACATGAATTAAATAACTCATAAAATAAACATGGAAAACATAAACAAAGCAAGAAAAAAAATGAAACCTACTTACATTGGATTAACTTTCATAAAATCTCTTTTGCTTCCTTTTAGTTTCCCCTTCTTTTTCCTTCCCTTTTTTTCTCTTTCTCCCCTTTCTTTGACTCTTTCTTTCTTGGTTTTAAGGCAGCTACGGGATGCACCAAAAATGCATCCTTATCCCATTTTTTTTTTACTTAAATATCTCATCTAATCTCATCAATTTAATGTTCATTACAAGTGTCAAGAGCTTGTGGTGAAATGCAAGGTAAATGTGGCTGAAATTAATGAAATGATAGGTTTAAATTTCAAGGAAGAAGAGGTGATGGTCAATGGAAATTTGTAGAAAGTAAGGGCCAAAATGTGATTAAATGAGGGTAATTAAATTAACTACATTTTCATAATTCCTCTCGAAATTTTGGCAATTAGCACTTTTTTTTTAATTTATACTTATTCCATATAAAAGAAATTTTCTAACTAATTTACCCAATATTTTTTTTTATATATAAATATTGACGTACACCCGTTACTCTCAATAAATACGTAAATACCATATATTCCAAGTACATATGTTGACTCGGTTACGTGATTTTCACGTACGTAACCGATATATATATATATATATATACGTACGAATATAAATATCTCGATACATACACTTATACGATTACGGATTTTACGAGGGTTACAGTTAGGCTGATCTCTTAAGTGGATTGGTGGTGATAAAGTTGATAGTAGGCTAGTGCGAGGCCATGAAAACGAAGTGGACTACCTTTATAAGAGAATTCCATCCATAGGGCTTTATAATAAAATAAAACGAGCCCTAATTGAGCTAGCCATTGAACCCTTAAAACTAGACTCGCCCCATAAATAAGTAAGAGTAGGAGATCTACGGTAAAGATAGCTGCCTCCAAGGTGAGAGACGTTCGTAAACATATACTTTTACATCATAGGGAGTCGTCATTACCCATCATCACGGTTAAATGGGGACGATTAAATGGGGTAGGGGTTGAATGAGAAGGCTAAGATACACAACCAAGCGAGTTTGAATGAAGTTATTGGTTAAGACGTCATTGATGAGCACCACCATCGAATGACCATTGAGTGACCCGGACAAAGTAAAGGGCATCGACTAACCCGTAAGAGCGTGAAATGAGATATAAGGCGGAGGATCGGCTTGTATGTTAAAGGGTAAAGGTTGAACTCGGGTTAGTAGTTACCTTGACAATTTGAATCGATTCAAAGGCGAGTCGGGGTCAACGTCGCCCGAAGATAAAGGAATTAAGGAGGACGATGATGGTGGCCTAACGTGAATTGATCCTC